GGGAACGATGTAAACCCCAAGTTAAGCCCCCACACCCTGAACATTCGCATCACGATGCTCAGATGTGACTGAAATCCGGGCTGCAGAACTTGCAATTAGACCAAGGTGCTGTTCGACACAGCCATAAAACACAGAAAGGTGTTGGTGGCTGCAATGAGTAAGCAAAGAAGCACAACAAATTCTGCAGAGGGCCGAGGATGGGGAGAGGCGACGTTACCTGCTGCTCGCGCCCTGCCGCCCGCTGCAGATGGCTCAAACCGCGTAGCTCGAGGGGTCGCCGCTTGCTTTCCTTGACCATTCCTGGAGGATCCCGCACATATTCCCCCCGGGCCACCCTGGAGCCCGGGCTCCTCCGCGCAGAGCGGGTGGCAGCGGATGGGCCCCCGCGGGCAGCCGGGCGCGCGGCCCGCACCTGCGCCGGGGCCATCCCACACCTCCACCTCGCTCCAAATTCAGAAGAGGCAGCCTGATTTCTGCAGCAGCAGGAGCCACCTCGGCTCTTCCCAACATGGCAAATCCCAACGGCCGGGCAGATTCCTGCCCTCCCACGTCATCTGTGCCAGCAGCCTCTTCTAAAAGAAGGCCCCTTTATCAAAAAGAGATTAACTGCAGAGCGGGGCCGATAGCTGCTCTTGGCAGCAGGTGCCGGACGACTCCGCTCTGCCCTGCGAGCGAGGGGACTTTTAACTTCTTGTTGTCCATGGGGAGGACAGTTCTCCCTTCCCGAGCTTGCACCAGCAGCCCCCACCGCTGCGGTCCCCAGGGTCCTTCCCCAGGACAGCAGCAACACCCAGGTCTGGAGTCACCCAAGGAGATACACCAGAGAGGCAACAACTCCAGCAAGTCCATCAAGGTGGGAATGAGAAAACGCTCATCGTTTTTTTCCCATCAGGTCCCCCAGAATGACATTTAAATAACCCTGGCAGGCAAATCCCATAGTTTAACTCTTAGGGAGAGCAGTGCTTCGTATCTGCTGTCACCGAGGGGTCACAGACCCACCAGGCACCCGCGTTCACCTCGGAGGAGTCACGTTCTGCATTGGGACAGGACAAGAATCACGAGGTAAAAGGACTTGCCAAAATTGTTCATCCAAGAGTACCAGTGGAGGAGGATTCAGCTATTAATACAAAATTAGAAAGCCTAATCTACACGCTAGTATAATTAGCAGCCAGGTCCTCAGAAATCTCTTGGTAATGAAGCAGGAGAGAGAAAATATTTGCTAGATGTTTCTGCAGCGTGTCCATGAATTTTGTACACCTGGAAAAAATCACTGGGCAAACTCCAGGAGAAGATGGCAGGCAGAGTCCTCAGGTCCAATGCTCCTTAAAAAGCAAGTCCAACCAGCTCTTATCCTTGATTTCTCTGCAGAACTGGCCAAAGAGCACATTAAAAAATAAGCAAGACAGATGTATTTCCTGTCTCTAATGAACAGCCTTCCTGATCTCCAAGCATTACTATCCTGCTGGAAGCTTCCTGATCAACAGGAAAGAAAAATACAATTGCAAAATGCAGTTATACAAACAAACTGCCTGAGGAAGAGAGAGAGGCCCAAATTGAACTCCTAATTCCTACAAAACCAAGGCACATTTTTCAGTTCACGGGTGGCTTTTCCAAGTGCTCACGCTCCCGAGGACGCACACACTTGAGACGTGCCCCGGAGGCTTTCCAAAGCCCGTGGTGGAGGCTCATCCTACCCACCTGACGGCCGACTACAAGTTGTGAATTGTGGCCTGGCCTCGCAATCCGCGCTGGGAAGCCCAGCAGGGATATGAAGGGCCTCAGAGTAGCCTCAAATCGAGACCTTCCTTTCGGTGCCAAGTGTCTCACAGCAACATCGGACGAGCGGGTCAACAAGGCACATCCCAGCTTGGCAAGATCTCCCAAAGAGCCACCTCCGTCTGCAGGGGACATCGATGCTCCTAAGAGCCGAAGTTGTCTCTGCAGGTGGGAAGTCCCACAGAAGGAATCCAGCACCTGAGGAGAAGAGCAGCGGCTTCCACGGGCTCCTGGGAGGAGATGCGAGCGCAGGGCCCTCACGGGAGCACCAAGGGCAGGAGCGGCCCCATCAAGGATCCCGGAGCGGCGCTAGAGGCCGCTGTCACCTCGGCTAAGGGTGGCCAGGCTGGCAGCGGCCGTGGGGACAGCCCGGAAGCCCGGCCGGCCGCCCGCGCCAGGCGGAAACCAGGACAATGTTAGTTTTGTACCAGGAAGAATGGGATCTGTGTGAGACGCGGCCCGCACTGCACCGCTGCGCTCCTCACCACCGCGGTGGCCGTGGCTGCTTCGATAAGTTCATCCCAAATGTGAGACAAGTTGACGCCAGCGGGAGATCATCAGAATGGCCAAACTTTGGCCTATAAGAAGGCCTTCCCATAAGAAGAACAAATTAATGGGCAGAAACACTGACTCTAGAAGACAGCACATTCGCTACCTCGTAGCATTGGCGAGCTGCAGCTGCAGCAAATTAAGCTGGGCACCTGCAAACAGGCACAGCAGACACGGCCCTCACGCCAGGCAACAACCCACCGTGCTCAGGCCGGGTGGGCAGCTTGCATTAAATTCCTCCCAACCAATTTCTCCAGCGCTGCCTCATTTTTCCCCCCCTCTTTAAAGACCATCTAGTTTGCGATTACTGGATCATCTGCTGACCGATTTAGTGAGCCAGCAAGCAGCAAGTGAAACACCATGGAAGAACCACTGGAATGAGCGAGGCCGAGGCGTCCCGGCCGGCGGGCAATGCCAGACCAGCTCCCAGCCATCCTGCTGCTCGTTCCTCCCCAGCCCACGGCGAGTTCTCTGCTTTAACCTTTTGGCTTCGGCCGGACAATTTAAGGCTGCAAGCGAGGAGATATCGCTGGGATCTAATATTAGATGATAAGCTTGTTTATGTTTTTGTTGCTAAGAGAGAGCTGGGGCTTTGGAAACACTGAAGCAGACCAAATGCTACCACAACAGCTGCCGGTGGGAACTGAAATCCATACAGTGCTTTCCTGACAACTGTTTGCCATTTTCTTTCTCCTCACCTCCCTCCCCAAATGGGCCTGCTTCCAAAATAACCTTTTCCCATTTAGGTGCCCCCTCTTGTTTCTCTAAGTCCATACTTCCTAGTTGAAAACGTGCAAGCAGCTACCCGCTGGGGATATTCTGTTGTTAAACATCCCTCACAGGCACGAGGAGGCATCTTTGCTGTGTTTTTTACCTCCCTTGGTAATTTCAAAGCAACAGTTAAGGGTGGGAAGAACTTTTCTGGTGTTTCTCTTTGCATATTGCTAAGTGATGGTTCACTGCTAAAAATGCAGGAGACTTAAACAGATCTCCTATATTATTTATAGAAACTCATTCGGTAATAAATGCCAACGCAGTAATATTAATAGATGCTCTTTTTGGCATTTACAAGGACTATCACAGTCAAGCTCCCTATCTGGAGATGGTGCCAACAGTCTGGTGGGCTTTGCCGAGCCCACATTTCCTGGCAAGAATCTAAAGCTTCTGCAACTTTATTGAGGGCTTTCCGAACTGGAGAGAGCAATGAGCTAAGGTGTGAGCCGAATGCCCATCACGTAGCCCATCCTCTCGTGCACAACCCCACTCTGCAGCAGGAGGCTCCTTAGGCAACTGATCTGATTCAACTGCAAAGAAAACCAAGCCAGCCGACCCTGGCAAACAACAGGAACATGCAGAAGCACTACTGATTTTAGACACAAGCATCCTGCTGGGCAAAGAGGATGCCCTGTAGTAGCTCTTTCAAATTATTTCCCTGCACAAAGAAATGCGGAATACGGTTCACTCAGAGAACTTGTAATATCGTCAAAGCACTACCTACAGTACCTCAAAAGTCTGAAGGGTTTGAGTGATTTCAAACAGCACAGTCTGGCCTTCTTTCTTAGACCTGCTGCAGTTAAAGCCAAGAGGAGTCCACAGCAGGACTGCCCTCCCTCCATCTGAGAGGCTGGGCCTGGCTCTAAGACCACCCAGCACTTCTGAGCTCTGCCATCTTCATCTTTTTAAGCTGGTAAACTCTATTTTTACTTTTCATATCCTATCCTCACTCACAAAGTTTGGTAATTTAAGGAGAGCTTGTTTTAGTTCGGAAGAAAGTATTTAATTAAAGAACTTCATGAACTGGCTGATGATTAGAGCACACAAACCATCCTTGCATTGTATTTCTTACCACTTACTTTCATCAATGCCATCAGAAGAAACAGATCTTGCAAAAGTTAACTTGTTTGCAAGAATAAACATGGAGCATTTGATATTCTGCACTTAAATGCACAAGGTAAACTTCCTTTGAAAGGAGCACCAGCTATCCAAGCTTTGTATTTTTCCAGTCTTAAAATAAATGTGGTAAGAAAGTGGTATGACCAGCTACATTCAGCATGAGAACGCTGCTGCTGTTGGAACAGCCGTGGTGGTACACGGCAGAACTAGCCTTCCCTTACAGTCAGTGGGAAATATATGCTGCTACACCACAGCTCATCATCTCCTCCTGTATCATACATCTGTAGCACCTCAACTAAGTCATGAGATGTTGTTCCTGAACGAACCTAGAAAATGTTTTTCTTGCAACCTTAAACACAGAGGGAGTCTAGGGGACTTGTGCAGTAAAGATGTCTCCATCTGGGCATATGTAAACTTAGCTGAGAAGAGGGTTTTTTTTCCTGCCTGTGTCTTGATCCAACACTCATGTCAAGATGGGATTCACGTTACCAAACCTACTGCAAGTGGCTACTGTGCTGTGTCTCCCTACACAGAGGCTTTCAGGATTGAGATTAGCAGTTGAGACCAAAGCAAAAGGCTGAAACATGCTGAAAACACAAGTAGAAAATTATGAATCTAAATTTCTCCTACAACCCAGTGATGAGTCAGTCCAAAACTTTAAGCAGCAGTGAGGGCAGCAGACTGTAAGTCCATATCGCACCTAAGAAGCGGTTCTTACATACCCACCATCACCAACACGTGACATCTGCCACACAGGAGGAACGGGCTCTCTTCTCACTAACCTTCTGCGCTCCCTGGCTTCCTCAGCTGAGAAGTCCTTTCCTGTAGTTGAGACAGCACCGGCATTGGCAATACCATTGGCAGAGCCGAGTACAGCACGATTTGTGATTACACCTAGGGGGGTGCTAGCAGAGATGCCCTCTGTATTTTTCTCTACAGCAGAATCAGTTTGTTGCCTGAAAGGGGCTCTGAAATAGAGAAGACATAATGGAAAGCAAAGCAAGTGAACGCGGCTGCCAGCTGAGCGCAGACACCTCGAGGGAGCACTGACACTTCATTTTTCCGGCTCTACGTCTGGTTTTGAAAGGAACTGCACACATTAAAATGTTAAAAAAATGTAGAAGAATAAGCGGGAAGAATTCATAATCTTGACATCCCTGGTTGTAGCAAAAAAACGATTAGAAAATTATACTGGTGATTAAGCAGGAGGAGTGAGCTCCAAGAGCTGGTAAACCGAATTCCCAGGAGCAGCCAGAATAAATGACTGCCTGTACCAGGGTAGGAAGAGTGCAGAACTGAGCACTCAGTGAGCAAAGGAGCTAAGGTCCCATATAGCATTTTAACTGCTTCCCAGCGCACAGGCACTCCTGGAACACCACGGGCCAGCGCTGGAACACCTTACCCAAACTTCCCGCTGGGAAGTGTGTTTCTAACCCCCAATCCGATCCAGCACTCTGACCTTCCAAGCCAGAGGCTGCTCTGCTGTGGCGTGCTCGGAGCTGCGAGCTGTTACCTGGTCGAGTGGCGGGCGGATGCAGTAGTGTTCGCACCGAGAGATGTGGGGCAGGAAGAGCCAGGTTGCCACGGGGTGCCCAATGAGGTAGATGAACCAATGGTAGTGGGTGAGGTAGCTAGAGATGTATTGCGACTGCTTGAAATGTAGGGACTGTTGAGGTCACTACTTCTACCAAAGGAAGCACTGTAAAACATCACAAAATCACGTCCTTCAGAGCACAGTTAATATTCAACAGAACATCACCCCAGCTGGGCTCTCAGCTGGAAAGGGAGGGAATATTATATCTTAGGAAAACGTATGCAGAGCACACCTTTGGATGAGCCCAGCCGAGCTGCAGCAAGAGGGAAAATGGTGCGGAGGGGAATTGGTGAAGACTGGAAGGGAAAAATCCTACCGCCCTGAAAGCAGCACACTCTGCACCCCTGTGCACGGGAGAAGGGCA